TGGTTCAGGGTATCACGTGTTTGTTGCCGCCACCGTGCTTGACGCTCAGTACACCTCATGAATCTCATTCTTTTTTTATTAAACTCTTCTGTGTAAGCAAATGAAATGCGGGGTGTACAGTCTTTCCACTCTCCGTCCCCACACACTCTCAGCTGTGTGCATAGATGTTGTATATGCATTGAAAAAAGGACCAGAAGCTACATTTTAAAGTATGGCTATATGTGGGTGGTGGGATTATAAATGTTTTTATTTCCTTATGCCTTTTTTTCCTTAGTTTTTTATAGTGCGTGACTTTTAGAGTTAGAAAAATTGTTTGTCAACTACTTGAGTATATTTAAGGTAACTGTGATAATGGGACATTCATCACTTACCTTCAGTCAGGGCTTGGCAGCCGTCTATATTTTAGGCTTTGGGGGCACTGTGATCCCTGCTGCAGGGGCCCAGCTCTGCACTCGGACTGCACGGGGGGCCACAGACAGCACACAAATGAGCCTGGTGCCGTTGTGCTAACACTTTATTTAGGGACGTTGAAACTGGCATTTCACATACTTTTCTCACATTGTGAAGTACTATTTTTCTTTTGATTTTTTTTCAATCATTTAAACATGTGAAAACCATTCTTAGTTTATAGGCCTACAGAAACAGGCAGCGAGCTGGATTCAGCCCATGGGCTACAGTTTGCTGGCCCTACAAGATGATGATTTTTCTGAAAATATGTGTTTCTAAGAAGTCATGGCTGACCCTTGTGAAGATCTTGGAATGATACCTCCATCTTATTAACTGGTGCCATAGATTTGTTTTTTGCCACTTGTCTTCACTATTTTCTTTCTTTCAAGAGAAAAATGATTTTTTTTCTCTCCAAAATAAATAATGAAAAAATTTTTTGATGGAGGAAACACTTCAGCCGTTTCAGAAATGCAAATGACTTTTGCTGTGTTGTTTCACTTTCAGTGGTGGGAGATATATGGTCAAGAATATTAAATGATACTGTGAGAAATGGAGAAAAAATGGGAAAAGAGGAGAGCTGCTTCTTTGAGTCCTTTAATTCTGATACCATGTGGTTGCTGGGTTTTGTTCCATAGTAGACATGTGGGACAGTCAGACCTCCGCCGTCCTGGCTCTTGAGGCGTTGACCCTGCAGAAATCACAGCTGCCATCTGTAGCGGGACCTGGCTTGTCCCGGGACTGGTCTGTGTCTGTGGGTGCTGGCAGGACCCCCACTTTTCCTCCAGACTCCCGGGGCCATGTGTTGTGATTTAAGGAAATGAGGAAGGGTTGTTTTTTTGTTTTTTTTAACTTTAGTAACTTAAATGTATATATGAAACATAGAAATGAAACACTAGAAATTACATTTTGGGAATTTCTTTTGTTTGACAGTTTTAGGGACATGACGTCCAAAGCATGGGGTCCAGAGTTGCCCTGCATCCAAGCCTCTAGGTTGTGCAGTGCAGACTCCTGGTCATCATACCTGGTAAAGCGGGCTTTCTGCATGCAGAACCCAGGAAAATGCATTTTTTACAGTCTCTGCAGTGGGTTCTTTTTACGCTGAAGTTTGAAAACTGCTGGTCTAGGGGAATAAGAGAGTAAGCTAACAGGGTAGGTGGCGGTCTTTGCACCAGCATATTCCACTGTGGCCGTGTTCTTTCCCACACTCAGAGACAGGACCTTTTAAACATACTCTGAAAAGCATTCTTAACAATGGCAGAATGCAGCACAGGTAGGAAAAAAGCCCTAGTTTCCCTCAAAACATAGTCCTTAAGAAAAAGAATGTTCTCAATGAAGTACAAATATACTGGCCTTTGAGGGTTTGTTTCTTTTACCAGGTAGGTTTGTTCATGTTTACTTTCTAGTCCTTTACACCTTAAAGCCCAAGGGTGTCAGAAAGAGAAGTTGTTAGTGTCTTTTATTCTTCTATTATATTTCTGTAAGAAGCATGTTATAACTTGCTCGTACAAAGAATAATGGTAAATGGACTTTTTTTTTTTTTAACCAGGGGGAACACCTAATTTGAAATCATTGTGGCTGAACCAAGAGCCAGGAATACAAGGCCGGCGCTTGGATGCCCTCCTAGGCTGTTTCGACCTTTCCTCCTCAAGAGAAGAGCTGCAGGCGGTAGAAAACCCCTTTAAAGCGTTGTGCTGCCTCTTGATCTACCTCTTTGTGCAGGTAACCTCAGCTCCTCGTTCTAGGTCCTGCATTGGCTCCTCGCTCCTGCCCTTGCCTTTTGTGAGGTGTGGCGCTCTGGGGTCTGGCCGTGGGCCTGTCCCCATGTCATGCTGTCTAATATCTGCCCCATGAGCATGAGTCCCTTGCAGCTGTGTTCCCTGTCGGCACACATGTTAGACGCTCGTCTGTGTCAGACATAGAGGCTCGTAATGCATGTAAGTGTAGTAGAGGCGTGGGACACCGTGCAGGTTTGCTTCTGCTTTCCAAGCACTTTGAACCATGTAGTGCCTCCCCTGGTGCCGTCACCGTCCAGGAGGTTGGTCCTGTCGGGGGTCCAGTGTTGTGGTGAGAAGGCCTGGTGCTTCTGGCCGACGCCTTCCAACGTCACTGCTCTAGCAGACGTTTACTGAGACTTCCCTTCACGTCTCAGTCTAAGACAAGGTAACCGGTACCTCCTGGGGTTATTGGGGTGTCACACTGTGGAAAATACGAAACGTGCTTCGCAGAGGTGCCCAATGATATGTCTGCTAGGGTCATCATTGTCACGGCCTGTTTTCCTTGCCTGATTAAACCAGGGGTTGGAAGCCTCACATGAGGAATGCAGTGCCAGGCCCTGATTGATGTCCCTCAACAAGTTAGGCAGTTTCTGTTTCATTAGTTTTACACTTAGGTTATGTGTGAAAATTATAAAGGCCCATGAAAGTACTTGTCTTTTTAACAGGTGCCCGTGTGCAGGGTAATGTTTGGAAACCTCAGCAAAAGAAGGGCCAAATCACTCCCTCTTCCGCCTCTTTCCTCCCACTTCTTTCCTTGGCTGTATTATTTTTAAATGATTTTGTCTCACATTTGTCACAACGACAATAAAAGAAAAAGTCCTTGGGCACCTGGGTGGCTCAGATGGTTAAGCGTCTGCCTTCGGCTCAGGTCATGATCCCAGGGTCCTGGGATCGAGTCCCGCATCGGGCTCCCTGCTCCTTGGGAGCCTGCTTCTCCCTCTGCTTCTCTCTCTCTCTCTCTCCTCCTCTGTCTCTCATGAATAAATAAATAAAATCTTTAAAAAAAAAAAAAAAGAAAAAGTCCTTTGCAATCACGTCTCTGTTGTTTTTAGCCCATCTGGACCTCCTGTCCTCTCGACACCTTTGGGCTGTCTTCTGCTGTAGCCTCTGTATGTGCTGGATCTTGGGACTCGTTTGGCATAAACATCAAATTTTCATTTGCCTGGAATAGAGAGTTAGGTGACTGTTTCTCAGACCTGAATTCACTTTATGAATTATTGATTGTCTTTAAGAAACTCACTCTTACCGTGGAATTACATTTCAAGGGAGCTTTATAATGATTCGTCTTTTCCTCTTCTAAACTGTTCTTTTGGCTCTGCCAGTTTATAGCTAGTTCTGCATTTTGCATTTTGTAAACATGTGGTATATATAGCTAAATAACTCTTAAGAGATTTTATCGCTTCAGTATTGGTTTCACAAGCACCAGTGTAAACTTTAGTTTTTGCTTTCCTATTTTGAGTAGAACATTTTGTTATTGGTACCAGACTTAGCAATATAACTGAATAGAGGATGGATTTTTAAGTGTAAAACTGCCTTTCTTTTGATACCATTTACTAAATATGCAAGCATGTATCAGTTAATGTTTTCTGTCCAGTGTTCGTTAGTCTCCAGGTGGCCGAGATAGGGCCGTCATGGGGATTGGGAATGGTGAATAACCAAGAGCTGAGGTTTCTCCTCCAGAAAAATAAGTGTGTTTTCTTCTGAATCCTGTCTGCATGCATATGAACAGTCACTCCTTGGACACACATTTTGAATTGCTCTTTCCAGTAAGAGGGTTGTTGAACCTGTTGACAGTCGCTCATCACAGCTCTGTGCTTGCCACTTGTGCAGGTGACTTGTCAGTTACAAAAAATCCGTGTCCAGACCACAGAACAGCAGCTTTCCATCTCCAATATCTCTATACACCTGAAGCAAGACAGGCGTCAGGAGGAAAATTTCCACCTTCACCTTCTTTCTGCTAACACTAATGGTTACCTTTCAGTAAAAATCTCTTTAGTGTGAGTCAGCATAAGGCAGACATATGATGTTGGTTTGACTTAAAGAGCATATTTAAATTGGAGCTTTTTGAAACCAAAAAACAGTGAATCAACACATCAGTGGCATCTCTGAGATTAAGAAGGAACTGTAATATTCACAGGGTTAATATTCTCTTAGGGTTTCATAAGGCTAAAAAGATAAATTTATAAAAATCTTACACTTTTCTGTGGTTAAGCTTAAGTTAGATGTTTCATTGTGTGACGTGGGGTACAGAACCTGTAGAGAGACGAAATGCTCTCATAACCTCCAAGTCAATAACAACAACACTTTTTACTGAAAGCTTATCTGAGAACATTCTCTGGAAGGGTAAGTTTACATCATAGGAAGTGTACGTAGTTTTTATAATCTCTAGTTGAGCAAATGCTTTAAATAGTAATATCTGTTCTGTAAAACCCTAAAAAAGCACCCTCTGTGGTGGTTTAGACTGTTAACTGCGGAGGTGGGCTACCTGTGAAAGCAGTGGTACGTGAGATAGTTTTCTTTTCTCGTAAGTTGGTGTTTTAAAATCAGCCTTCTTCAAAAGTTGCTAATGGCAAGAAGTAGAATTACATTGCAACAAACCCAGTCTAAATGGAGAGAGATGGGGTTTATGGAATAAAAAAACGTGTTCTCTGCTTGGTTTTGCTTCTGTAGACTGGGGTCTTTTTTCTTGGTCATGAGTACTACACATCTGTGGACTTTTTTGTTATTCCCTGAAATAGTTACAGCTGTCATTTATACAAAGACAATAAGTACCTCAGAATGGAGCAGGGCAGGGTAGTGACGGGGTTGGTGCCTTCTGCAGGGTGGAGTTGACGAATGCCAGAAGTATTTGCTTTTCCAGGAGAGGTCAGTGGGTCCTGGCCGTGGAGAGCAGGAGTCCCCAGTGAATGAACTGTCTTTCTGGTTTATGGTGGCGTCATTTTTATTAGGAGTAAACATTAGCCACTTTTATCACTGAGGAAGAATCAAAATTCTTACTCATAGGTTTGTGGTTGTCATCCTGATTTTTTCCCTTCAAGCCTTTACTTGCCACAGAACGTATTCCTCTATAGAAAGAAGTTCTCGTATTCTTATGATGGCAGTGGAAACACTGAGCAAGGGAACTGCAGTGCTTTTCTCTGGCTGGCAGAATTTGGTGGCTGAGCTGGAAAAGTCACCACCCCCTAACCTGGGAGAGGTGGTTCATTAGAGCAGCCCGCTGTCCATGGTGCTCCCCGGCCCTGTCCTCATTCCCATCATTTTCTCGAGACCCAGAGTTTTCCCATCTGTCTCTCCAAATCCCTGCCCTCCTTGTTCTTGCTCACACTTTGGTTGGACCCCTTGATTCCACAGAAGATCGGATGGTCTCATATGTGGGGGTCCTGAGATATGAGTATACAAGTTTCATCAGGGCTGGCAAAGGTGGAAGCTTATCCCAGCCTTGATCACCCCAGCTCACGCTGCAAACCCCTAAGTTACCAGCTGTGGGAATTGGTGCCCAAAACAGTCACCTGTGTTGCTCTAAGACTCAGGCCTGGTTGTGGCTCATGGCCCCTCCCAAGCATTCTAGAGCTTCCCCCCTTGCTGCAGAGTGACCAGGGCCCTGTCCAGCTTGGCCCTGGGCATCATGGACTGTGGGATCTGGACAAAGAGGCCCCGCTGACCTCCGCCTCTGCCTCGTCTACTACCCCCAGTGCCTGCCTGTCTTTAGTCATTGAATCCACGTGCACAGTGTTGGATTTTTCCCAGAGCTGATGCTGCTTCTCTCTCTCTCCCTTTCAGGTGGACACTCTTTGCCTGGAGGATCTGCATGCTTTTATTGCTCAGGCCTTGTGCCTCCAAGGAAAGTCAACTGTGCAGCTTGCAGACTTGCAGGTACTGGCCTGATTGATTGTCACAGTTCTGGAGACCCCCTGCCTGCCCGGCCATTTCTCCTGTTGTGTTTTTTTAAGTTTTGGTTGGTGTTTCACAGAAAAGGTATGAAGGCATCTATAATCAGGGTGTTTTTATGCTGCTGTGGTGTGGCTTCATCTCTCACAGCAGAGCCCAGGGTCCTCCAAGGTTAGTGAAGTTCAGGCAGAGCTGTGGACAGATGGCATCCCGTGTTCCAGGGAAGTGGCCCTCTGGACCTCAGTCTCAGCGGGGTCACATGCTCACAAGAGCTGCCTGATTCCAGCGCTGGGAAAGGTGTCGTTCTTAATCCCGTCTCAGTATTGTAGTAACATGAGGACACGAGTCGGTTTGATCCCTGATAAGCCTTGCTAACTTTAGGAAAACAGGACGCCTTTTTCTGGTGTTCGTGATTTTGGCCCATACACATGCTGTCTTGCCTGTTTTGTCCATGGGCCTGGCCTCCCAGACGTCAGGGACTTGCTCTTAGGGGCCTGGGCCACGTCCCACCCGCCCTGTGTCCTCTCCCAGTGCCTTGCTGGTGGAGTGTTTAGTAAATGGAGATCATGCGCCCGTGTTGCTTTCATTCAGATGTTGCCACTCACAGGCGTTTTATTCCTTTAATTTCATGAACAAGCCGTTGGCCGCTGAGCCTGGCTCCTCTCCTCTCTGGCCACACCCCGTTGGGTCCCATAGCTGTTTTGTAGAGGAAAACCTGAGGTCAGGTCAGTTGTTGGTGGAAACTGAAGACTTTGCTTTATAAATGCCATTGGATAATGATGAGTTTTATCCGCAGATTCTAGTTAATTGAATTAATTTTCACTTGTCTTTCTAGTGAAAAAAAAACTAATAAATTTCATATATGAACAACTTTTAATCTAATCCCAGAACTCTTCCGTACCACGTTAACTCCATGAACTAATTCTCATAGCAGCCCAATTAAATACAGTCAGGCTGTGTGTGTGTGTGTGTGTGTGTGTGTGTGTGTGTGAGCAGTTTCATTACGTTATAGTCAAGAAAGTTATTTTTAGAGGTGGATTTTTTCCTCCTTTTGGCAAGACACAATTTTAAAAAAGTGAATTTTGGGTTATTACTAGGTTAATGCTAATTCTTTTTTTATTGAGGTATAATTGACACACATTATATAAGTTTCAGGTGCTCAACAATGATTCAATATTTGTATATATTGTGAAATAATCACCACAGCAAGTCTAGTTAGTATCTGTCAGCACCCATAGTTACAGAATTTTTTCTTGTGATGAGAACTTTTAAGATTTATGCTCTTAGCAAGAAGGGCCTAAATCTTAGCATAAAAGTTGCTCTTAGCAACTTTCAGGTATGCAACACAGTATTATTAACCGTGGTCTCCACATCCTGTGGCTTATTAATGTTATGCACTGGACTGGCTGTGTATGGGCCAAAATCACAAAGGAGTCTGTACCTTCTGACTCCTTCCCCCATTTTAGTCACCCCCTATCTCCAGTGACCACCAGCCTGTACAGTATTTGTCTTTCTTTCTCTGACTTACTTCACTGGCATAATGCCCTCAAGGTCCATCCACGTTACCACAAATGGCAAAATTTCACTTTCTTTTTTTTATGCCTGAATAATACTGCATTGTGTAGATATGTCACATCTTTTTATTTTTTATTTTATTTATTTATTTATTTTTTAAGATTTTGTTTATTTGCTAGAGAGAGAGAGAGTGACAGCACAAGCAGGGGAAGTGGCAGGCAGAGGGAGAAGCAGGGTCCCCGTCGAGCAAGGAGCCCGATGTGGGACTCAGTCCCAGGACCCTGGAATCACGACCTGAGCCAAAGGCAGACGCTTAACCAACTGAGCCACCCAGGCGTCCTGTCACATCTTTTTAATGTATTCATCAGTTGATGGACACCTAAGGTGTTTTCATGTCTTGTCTGTTGTGAGTAATGCTGCCTCAAACATGGGCTGCACATACCTCACAAGATAGTGATTTAACTTCCTTCGGATATATCCCCAGAAGTTGGATTGCTGGATTTTAGGGTAGCTCCATTTTTAGTTTTTTTGAGGAGCCTCCATACTCCTTTCCGGAGTAGCTGCCCCAGCTTGCATTCCTACCAGCAGCGCAAGAAGGTTTCCATTTCTCTGCATCCTGGCCAGTACTTACCTTTTGCCTGATGATGGCCCTCCTAAATAAGTGTGGGAAATTAATTGACCATATATGCATGGGTTTACTTTTGAGCTCTCTCTTCTGTTCCATTGATTTTCGTGTCTGTTTTTATGCTAATATTAAACTGTTTTGATTACAATAGCTTTGTAATACAGTTTGAAATCAGGGAGCGTGACGCCTCCAGCTCTGTTCTTTCTCAGGACTGTCTGGCTATTCAGAGCCTTTTGTGGTTCCATACACATTTTAGGATTGTTTGTTCTATTTCTATGAAAAGTGCCATAGGAATTTTTGTAGAGATCACATTGATGCTGTAGATTGCTTTGGATAGTATGGACATTTTAACAATATTTGTTCTTCCAACCCATGAACATGGAATATCTTTCATTTGTTTGCATCATCTTCACTTTCTTTCATCAGTGTTTTATAATTTTCAGAGTGCAGGTCTTTCACATCCCTGGTTAAATTTATTCCTACCTATCTTATTCTTTTTGATGCAATTGTAAATGAGATTGTTGTCTTAATTGCTCAGATAGTTCCTTATTAGTGTATAGAAATGCAACAGATTGGGACGCCTGGGTGGCTCAGCTGGTTAAGCATCTGCCTTCAGCTCGGGTCCTGATCTCAGGGTCCTGGGATCGAGTCCCATGTTGGGCTCCCTGCTCAGCGGGAAGCCTGCTTCTCCCTCTCCTCTGCTGCCTCCCCTGCTTGTGCTCTGTCTCTCTGACAAATAAAGAAAATCTTTAATAATAGTAATAAACCTTAAAAAAGAAATGCAAAAGATTTCATGTATTGATGTATCTTGTACCTTTATTGAATTCATTTATTAGTTCTGACCATTTTTTGGTAGAGTCTTAAGGGTTTTCTATGTATAGTACCATGTCATTGGAAGATAGTGGCAGTTTTACTTCTTCCTTTCAGTTTGGATGCCTTTCTTTCTTTTCCTCGCCTGACTGCTGTGGCTAGGACTTCCAGTCCTGTGTTGGATAAGAGCGGTAAGAGTGGACATTCTTGTCCTGTTCCTGACCTTAGGGAGGAAGCTCTCGGCTTTTCACCATTGAGGCTGTTAGCTGATTGCATTGAGTATGAACAACTGAGTATGAACAACACGGTTTTTAAAAAGTGAATTTTCAGTTATCAGTAGGTTAATAAAATTCTTACTAGGTTATAGCCCGAGCTGCGTGGCCTCCCCGGCAGCCTGCTGTCCTGCTACCGTGGGCCCATCTGTCCTGACTCTCACCTGCCTTCCTCTCTCCAGTCCTAGTAAAACTAAACAGACAGACAGAAGGAGGAGGGGACTTGGAGGTGGTGCTGTCTCCGGCCTCATTGTACAGTGTGGGCAGCAGAGCACGGTGGGGTTCGGGGTTCTCTCACTTGGTAGCTGCACGACATTGAACAAGTTCTTGTTGACATACGGCAGAACATAACTTCTCTCTTTCATAAATATGAGGGGACGTCTTAAATGCTTGTTGACAGGATGGAGGGTGGCACCGTGTGGGCTGTTCTCTGTCTCTGTGGAAATCGAGGCCATGATCCCATCCCCCCCCGTGTCATTGGCAGAGCCAAAGTGGGATCGGCTCTTGACACCCGACCAGTGGTCTTTGCTGTGAGACAGGTGCTTTTCTGGGAGGAGGGGGCCTGAGGGAAAGCGCGAGGTAAAAGCGGACCCCAGCAGGAGCACGCCTTGTTGTGTCCTCTCGCTTAGGCCCCTCGCTTGCCAGTCTGGCAGATGCCAGCAGACCAGGTGCCTTCCACAGGCTGGAGCTTCTCCAGCAGAAGTGGGGTCTGTACCGGCTGTTACTGACATTGGTTCCCTGGGAGGACTGTAACTGGGCAGCTCATGTTCTCCTCACCAGAGCCCTGTGGAGAGTGTCCCAAGGAGGATGTGGGTTTTTACCAGCAGTGGGACTGAAAACAGATGCAATTTCAGAGGCCTCTTGGCTGTCCTGGTTGATTGGATTGGTTGTGGTGATGCCGTGAGGCAGGGAGGGGAGGGGCAGGGTCCCCCCAGGGTCTCCCTCCACTCCCGCTTTTGAGGAGCAACTCATCTGGGACTTAGCTGTGGCTTTGGGTCCAGACCCTTGTCTTCACCATAAGCTGCAGGTGAGCTTGGTGTCCCTGCTCACTGGTGCTCGTGGGGAATTTTTAAAATGCCCAGCATTATTTTTCTTGTCCCAGCAGCTCAAATACAGCTTTAAAATGGTATACAGGTTTACATTTTTATTAAAAATCCAGGCGATTGGATTATTATGTAAAGATTATATCCCATACTATATATACGCACATACTCATTTACAGACATAGAAGTCTGCTATCTATGATAAAGAATACAAGAACTCTTAATCTGCAACAGTCCTGTAAGAAAAGAAAAATGAAGGGAAGCAGGGTTAGTTGTAACTAAGAAAAGACAGAGACAGCTGCTTTCATCGCACACCGAGGGCAGCCACACGGGTGACAGGGGACACTGGCCCCCTCAGTGCCGGAACACGTGCGAGGAGCTGAGCCGTGCGCAGGGAGTAAGACTGTCTGTCTTCCGGGCTGGAGCCGTGTCCTCTCTGAAAGCTGGTATGTGTTTGCTCTTTTCCTGTTTGTGTGTGTGACTGTCCGTAAGTGCGTTCTAGGGGACCCCGTCTGTTCACGGTGCTTCACGTAGCTCACGGGGTCCTTTGATACTTGGCTTGTGCAGCCCCTGTGAGAACACACACAGAGAAGGGGATGCACACAGGATGAGGGTGGGATGTCTGCATAGTTAGGTGGGAAAGCCAGCCAAGCAGTACACTGAGTCACACAGTGAACAAGTAGCCCGTGAAGCTTGGGTTCTCGCATCTGTTGAATTTAA